AAATCCAAGATCCGTGCTTAAAGATTTGAATTGGTTAAATCGTGGTAAATGCTTGGAACTTGGACCAGAAAAAAGAAAATTATTTGTTGAACAACTTCAAAAGGATGTTCATGTATGTATTTTATTTGTTTAATATATTGATGTATCATAACATAAACAATAAATAATATGATATATTATTATTTTAATTGATATTGTTTTTTAGTTGCTTCAACATTTAAATATTATGGATTATAGTCTCCTTATAGGATTACATTACACATCACGTGGAAATAAAGACAGCATTCGTCAAGATTTCTTTGTATTTCAAGTATGTTGACTATTTACATATTACTTATGTATAAATAAATCGTGTGCGCATAAATTATTGAATCTCTTTATTTATGCTCTTTTTTTTAAAAAATAAATAAATAGCCTCACAGTGAAAACTCGATACCGACTCATAAAAGAGAAAGTAAGGCATCCAAGTTAAGAAAATTAGTGGGTCAGGCTGATCCAGTCAAATTAGATCAATCTACTACAAAATTAGTTTTAGACGCTAAGAATGAGTATGTTAATTAAATTAATTAACGCCATCATTGTTTTCGTAATCATGATTATTATCGTTGTTAATCAAATTTTTATTTTCATGTCTTCAAAAAATAACTCGTATATGTAGACGTAAAAATTGTGTATTTTATATGGATGATGGCGGATTTCGTGCTACCGATGAACAAAATAATCCCACACAATATATTTATTATTTGGGTGTTATTGATATTTTAACTCCCTATAACACTGTTAAAAAAGCTGAGCATGCTTGGAGAGCTTTAAATAATGACAAGGTACGTCATTTTCATCTACTATTATTGCTATTATTATCAAATAACAACTAATTCTCGCTTTTTTTATAGAAAATGATTTCAGCTGTTAATCCAGATTGGTACGGTCAAAGATTCTTAGATTTTATGTTCAAGGCAATCAAACATAATGATGTAAAAGAAGAAGAGGAAGAATTATAGTTATTTATGATGTGAGAGTGTGAGTAGCTGTTTGTATTTTGTAGAGAAAGAACGATGGAATATGTGCTAATTAAAATATTTAATAATTAATATTATATTCAAATTTATAGATTAGATAATTATTAATTAAAAAGTAAATTATTCCACCTCATAATAATCTTTTAGGATTTTTCTCAGGAATTTATGTTCAGTGTGGTGTATTGTTTTTATGATGAATCGATAATCTCTGGAGAAATAAAAGAAACTCCCACTTTTTCCTGGTGAATTCAACTCTGATAATATATATTCACTCGTCAGGGAAACCAAATAATCAGCAGCATCTATATGAAAAAATTCACGAAGATGACGAAATACCCAGGGTGCATAATCCTTGAATTTAAAATCATATTTAGCTGATGGTGTAAGTTCATTTCCCGTTCTAAATATGATAACGTTTGGTTAAGGAAAAGAATTAATTGGTATTTATGTAGGTAATGTATTTTAAACAGAAGATAAAACGTAAGGTTCTTTCTCTCCTTACATATCAAATGAAAATTTATGTGCAGCTTTAAAATCTGATTCATCCAAGTCTCTATGCATTTTAGCATTACATCTTGACACCTAAACAAGAAAATATTTCATATATAATTAATCAATAATTCACCTTCATACACTCAATTAAACCTTGTTTTCGCCCTCAATTAAACAACAATACTTACACCAACACGAATACCAGTCAACATATTATACATAAGAACATAGTTAACATGTCCAACATCAATTCTAGTACCAATCATCACCTCAGGTTTATCCGGCCTTTTCATTTTCGATAATCTTCTTTTAACAATCTCTGCTTTTTTTTGAGTTTCCTCATCAAAATTTATCCCTTTCCCCCCCTCCCCAAAGTATTCTTCACTCACTGTACTTCTTCGTTTAGGCATGCCTTTTCTATTATTACCACCACTACGTGATTTTGATGAATAATTTTCTATTTGTGATTCTCCATCTGAAAGTGCATAATTGAGTTTTTTAGATTTACTTGGAGAAGTAAAAGATCGCTGCGGTAAATTTTGATTTTGACTTTCATTCAAAGCTAT